CCCACTTGGGTCAGGGATCTTTGTCTATAAAATCAGCTTGTAGGAATCACCATTTTATTTTTCTGTAATTTGAGCTCCTGTTTTGCTGGGTGGCAAGGATCACCTCAAGTCATTTGAGTGCCACTGACCCTTTGTTAATGCGGCTGTATCGTAGCTTCAGGAAGAACACAGTGGTACCCAGGTCTCTAGTGGTATTACTCTGTGTCCACCTGCTGGCAGAAAACCCATTAGTTCCTATGGAGCATCAGAAAAAACACAGCAGCCTAAACAAGGTTATTACAGTTTCCTACCACTCCCATAGAATGCGAGTATACACTTCTGGCTTGGTGTGGCTGCAGTGATGTCTTTTTATAAGATTTATCCATCACTGCACCCTGCCATGGCACCAACTATAGAGTCTCCAAATCCTCTGTGAGGAGATGCTATTACTTGTGTTTAGATGTCCCTTCAAAGCCTCATGTGGTCATTGGTGGGTGTTTTACAGAGATGCCTGGATCTAGACTGTGTGATTGGTTCTTGGTACAATGCTTGGATTGAGGATGTGTGATTATTAAATCATTCCACTGATTACTTTGGCTCCCTATCCTGGTAGCCTGGATAAAAGGGGCAGTATAAAAGGGGTGGAAAAGAGCTGCTAAACTCTCTTGCTTGCTTGGTTTTTCTGTCTTTTGCCTGCTGTGAACTGTTTGTCCTCTGTGATGCCCCTCTGCCAAGCTACCCTGTCTTGGAGCCAGCCATAAACTGTGAGCTAAATAAACCTTTTCTGCTTTAACTTTTAGGTGTTGAGTATTTGGTCTCAGTAATGAAAAAAGTAAAACAGCGGAGAAGAGCAGGCATTCCCTGGATGTGGCCAAGTAAATGCCCACTCACATCTTATTGGACAGCTTGTGGACACACGACCATATATAGCTGTAAAGGAGCTTGGAAAATGCAGTCTTTCCTTATAGAAAATGTAAATTGCTAGAAATCAGTTCCAGGACCTGGGGGAGAGTGCTCCTGGGAGAGGACTAGCTCAGTCCAGGGTGTGGGTCTCCACTGCTCTCAGAAACCCTTCCTATGTCTCCAGAATGTGTCAACTTCCTCTCTCTGCTACCTCAGCTTAGGGAGGACAGAGAAGGGAAGAATTTGGTCTTTTTCTGGACCTGGGCAACATAGAAACTTTTTTTTTCTTTTCATGTATTTTTATTGATTATTTTAAACTTGTAGTCAAGAATAAAAAGTAATGCAATGCATATCAGTTCCCACTCTGGGACTGAGCTAGTCGTCTCCCTGGTGCATGCTCCCCAGGTCCTGGAACTTATTTCTAGCAATTCACATTGTCTACAAGGAAAGACTGCATTTCCTAATCTCTTTTGCAGCTCTAGGTGGTCATGTGTCTACCTGCCAGCCAATTTGATTGAATATTTCCATTTTCACATTCACTTCAGATTTTAAGGAGCTAAACATTACAGACAGAAGGGAAATTTCTAGTCTTGGTTCTGAAGCCCTTTCCTCACATTTGACCCAGATGTGCTACCAGCTTCGATTTGGTGTGTATTCATCTCTTTTATGCCTTGCTGTTCAGCAGGCTTTTTAACTTGACATAAATGTTCTGCTACATAATTCATTGTGCAACTTGCTTTTTCCTCTGGACACTGTCTTTGAGTTGCAATCACAATGAAAAATGTAACTACCTCCATCATTTATCATAGCTGGGTTGTGTATGTGGTATATGACTGACATATGTGACTATACCACCATGAGCTTATCTATTCTTTTGATGATGAGTTAACTTTCTGCAATTGTTTGCTATTAAATCATGCCACAGTAAACATCTTTGTACACATCTCTTTGTGCACAATGCAAGAGTTCCTTCAGCAGAGTGTTCCCTGAGTAGTAGCATTGAGCCAACCTGGGAATCTGTTAGAAATCCACATCCCCAGCCCTGTCCAGCCTAAATCAGAGGCTGAGGTAGAACCGGGTTGGTCTGTGCTATAACAAGGCCTTGGGAGTGCTATGTGCTGGAGATTTACCCAAGAGGCCAAACTGCTACATTTGAAAAAGGCAAGTCTTCTGCTGTGGTAGGTGGTGCTAGGTTTTCCTCCAAAGTGCACATGGCTATAAAAAGGAAAAGTTTCCTCTCATCCTTATGAGCCCTTGGTACCTTCAGAATTAGAATGTTTTGCCAAGTGAGTGGAAGATCAGGTCCTGTTAAATTCTGCTGAGGTGGCACCCTTGGGCCCTGGGAATTTCTCTGACACTGACACAATTTCTTTCCTCAAGTCCCTGCCAGCTGTACATTTTTGGAAACAGAAATCTTCATTCTGCTGTCCTGTTGCAGTTCTCATGCCTGGGCAAGAGAACCAAGGGTATTGCCTCCTTGTGTTCTGCCTGGGGTTGGGTTACTTGTCAGTCACTGTGTACATGTGGGCAGCATGTATCTGTCAGCTGGCTTAGTTGTAAACAATAGAAACAGAGTTCTCAATGGCATGGGTGGGGGGTCAAAGAATTCAGGGAGCTGAAGATTGGGTTTGGAAAGTGCAGGATGCATCCCAGGAGAAGAGGAGGACGAAGCCCTAACCAGATCTGAGGAGAAAGCCCGATCTGTCTCCATTACAGCCCCACCTGTGTTGGGCAGCTTTCTGTCAGTATGACAAAATGTCAGGGAACTAACAGGAAGAAACATCTGTCAGTTCATGATTTCAAGTTTTCAACCCCTATTCACTTGGCTCAGTTTCTTCTGGGCCCATGGTGAGGCAGAGCATCATGGAGGGACCATGTACTGGAGCAAGCAGCTCACTCCATGGGACAGGAGTCAGAGAGAGACAGACAGACAGACAGAGACAGAGAGAGAAAGAAAGAAAATAGAGCCCTGAAAGCCATGCATTTAGGACCACTCCTTTCAACTAGGTCCTGGTCCTAAGTTTCTGTCATTGCCCACCAGCTACAGGGCATTAATGGATTCAACTAGTGGTAAGGTCAGAAATGTATGATCCAGTCACTCCCCTAAAAGCCCATCTCTGAATACTCCCACCATGGGGACCAGGCCTTAACTGAGGAGCCTTTGAGGGACATTCCGGATCCTAACCATAACATCATCCCTGGGGTCCCTGCACTTTGGTGTCAGACCCACAGGAGTGAGAATCTGATAAGATTCCAGTGTGGACCCACCCCCTGCTGACTTGAGGAAGGGTCATAAACTCAAGGGATCATAAACTGGAAAATTTAGTGTTTTCCTCATTGCTTCTTGTAAAGAGATGCTTGGCCTTTCCTGTCCTCCTTTGAGACCTGGTCACTTTGCCTCTGACTGCTGGGCACCTGTTAGCCAGGGACTTGTGTGAAGCAGCCACACAGACCACCAAGCTGGGCTCATCCTAAGGGCTCTGGCCCCTGATAGTCCTGCAAGCCTGGTGTGAAAGACAGTTCACTCTCCTGCTGATGTCTCCCTCTCTGCTTTGCCCTCTCTCCTGTGTAACTGACTCTGCTCAGAGAAGTGTGGGAAGGGGCAGAGCCACAGGGCTGTGGATGCAGGCTCTGGGGCAGGAGAAGCTATCACCTTGTGCAGCCCCTGACTGTCTGTGTGTGAGAGTTTCCTGTGCATCTCCTCCTCCCACTGAGTGATCCTGAAGAGATGGTCTGGTACTTCCCTACAGCCTCCCTGTGGGCCTTACCAACACTGTCCTTAGATCTGAGGGTATTTTTCTACCTCTTTCTCCCCAGCCGTGGTTACTGGTTCTCAATTCTGGAGCAGTAAAAATTCCTCCCCTCAACTTGCTGTTCCCAAATGTGCTGGGTGTGTTTGATGGTGGTGATAATGGGGAATGGAATATTACTCAGAGCCATGCAGGAGTGTGAGGGTCCCAGCCATCCCCACATGCGTGAGATCCCCCACATGCTAAAAAAAAGGGATATAAAAATATAAAGTAAATGTTTAGATAATTTATTATAATAAAAGACACTGTCACTAATCCCTCCCAAATTATCCCTTTCACATCTTTTTTTGAGACAGGGTCTTACTATGTAGTTCAGACTGGCCAGGCACTCATTATGTAGCCTAGTATGGCTTCAAACTTGTGATAATCCTCTTGCCTTAGCTTCTAAAGTACTGGGAATACAGGGATGCCCACCCTGTCCTGCTCTCTGCCTCACTTTTGTCACACTTGTTCCACTGTTCTTTCCACGTTCTGAAGCAGTTCTGGAAGCCCTCTTTCATGTCTTACAAGTTGTGGTAAAACCTATGGTGAGTGCTTCTGAAGGAGCCATCCGCAGCAAGGCAGGCTTGTAAAGTATTATCGTGTAACCTCACCCACCTTATTGAACAGATCTGGCTCTGTGTGACTCTGACTCTTCCAAAAGTCAAAATGATCATAAAAGGTAAACATTTTCAATGGATTCAGGGACTGAAGCAGCATGACAGCGGAACAAAGGCAAGCAAGGGAGATGACTGCCTTCAGAAAGTGGTAACAACGATAAGCATGTTCAAAAAGAGGGGAAATATTTTGACAAAATTAATAGTAATGTGCCTTCTTGATAATAAATTTTAAAAATTTACACATCGACTGCATTTTTTGATCAATCTCAAATGCACTGCGTTAGTAAATTCTAAATGTGACTATAATGAGAGAAATTTCCAAGTAACAGTGGTTTAAATAAAATAGATGTTGATTTCTGTCTCATTCTGACACTCTACACATGCAATCTAGAGCTGGTACTGCAGTTCCACTTTCTTCAGAGATCCAGGCTCCTTTAATCTTATCTCTCCATCATCTTTAAGCATGGTTTCCATTTCATTACCTAAAATGGCTGCTGTGCTTCAAACATCCTGTTCACATTCCATCCAGTAGAAAGGATAAGTGATGACAAGGGGCATGGCACTGTCATGCATTTAAGTGCAATGGAAACTGGGAAATGTAGTTTTGTTTGGGTGCCATTGTGCCCAGGAAATAGCACAGAGAGACAGTCTGAGCAGCTCATGGTGTGTTGATGCTCTCCTCCCCCCTTCTTTCCTGTTTGGCTGGCAGTGGGCACTGGCGCAGGGAGCAACTGCACGGGCTGCATCATCTGCTCGGAGGAGAATGGCTGCTCTACCTGCCAGCAGAAGCTCTTCCTGCTCATCCGCCGTGAGGGCATCCGCCAGTACGGCAAGTGTGTGCATGACTGTCCACTCGGCTTCTTCGGCATCCGTGGCCAGGAGATCAATAGGTGCAAAAGTAGGTGGCCCCACTCGTGTCCCATCCTCTGCCCCAGCTCAGCTGCAGGAAGCAGGAAGGTGCCTGAGCCCACCTGATACCTACTCAGCTCCAGACTGGCAGTCAGTCCCTTCTCTGCCTTTGGTAGCATTAACAGCAGGGAATTATGATTTTAACTTGCTGTGTGGCCTTGGGCATGTTACTCACCTTCTCACCTTCCTGGCTCAGGAAAGTGTTGACTCCTATTTGTGCTGTGACATTGGGAAAAACTACCATCATGTCTGAACCTTGGTGGAAAAACAGCCAGGGAAGCCTCACTGTCAGTCCAGATTTACTGTGTGCTTTCAAGTGACTCACCTGCCCTTTCTGAGCATAGCTAAAATAAGAAAAGATTTCCAGTATGCAACCCATTTTGACTTCGGCCAAGGCTGCAGTTCAGAGGCGACACGGCATCCAGACCCCCATGCTGCAGAGCTTGTGATAGGTCAGAGCCCCACCTCAGTCAGACCTGGGGCCCTTCCTGGGCAGGGGCCCTCACTAGTGGCGTCCTGCCTGTGTTGCAGAATGTGGGACCACGTGCGACAGCTGCTTCAGCCAAGACTTCTGCATCCGTTGCAAGAGACGGTTCTTTCTACACAAGGGGAAATGTCTACGCACCTGCCCACCAGGCACCTTGACCCAGCAGAACACCCGAGAGTGCCAGGGTGAGTGGAGACTCCTTCTCTGCTGGGAGTAGGGCTTGATGACAGATGTTGAAGGCAAGGACATATCATAGTAGAATGCCATGTAGTGGTGGTAGGCCCAGGGCCACCGAATCTCCTGTACTGGGGACCTGCACAGAGTAGTCCTCCAGTGTGCTGGAACCAACTCAGCCACCATGATGGCGACAGCTATTGCTACCAATATTAGCATCATGTAACTGTCAAGGAGACAGAAGAAGAGCAATGACTTTGGAATGAAACATCTAGGATCAAGCCAAGTGTGTTGTTGGTGCATGTCTGGGAGGCTGGGTTAGGGGGATTACAAGTTCAAGCCCATCCTGGAGAACTTAGGGACTTGTCGAGACCCTGTCTCAATATAAAAAATAAATAGATGCATAAAGAGGACTGGGGATGTAGCTCAGTGTCAAGGTCTTGGGTTCAATCACCAGTATAGAAAAGACAACCTCGGAACAGATTCTGGCTCTAAAACTTATTCATTAGTGATCTCTGTGCCTTAGTTTTGCCAAATGTTAAAAACTCACGTGAGAACACAAACCCTACTCATAGGGAAGGGTTGTTGAAGTATTAAATATAGCTCTGTAGTTTACTCAGTTCAGCAACTGGTTCACAGCAAATTCTCAGTGCCTGTTAGCTATCATTATCTCAGTCCCAGAGCTCCTTGCCAGACCCCATGAGTGAGTGCCCTGGCTGGGGTGGTCTTGTCACCCACTGCCAACGGTCTTCCTGGGCACATGCTCAAGGCCATCCCACAGCTGAGGCTTCTGGCTCCACAGGTCCCTCCCCTAGATGTCTAAGCCTGGTGCCTCCCTGGTTCCAGCTCCACACCCAGATCCAGAACCCCGCTGTGGCCATGCCCAGACTTGGTGGCATCTGGACCCTTCTTTCTCTCACCCTCTGTGTAACCTAGTCTGGTCCCTCAGTCACTCAAACAGCATACATTAGACCATCTGCTCTGACCAGGGCCTTTTTCTTTTTTTCAGTGCTGAAGATTAAACTCGAGACCTTTAAATCTAGCCCTTGCAACTGAGGCTTTTTTGAAATTTTTGATCCAGAGTCTCAATAAGTCACTAAACAGACCAGGCTGGGTTCAAGCTTGAGATCCTGCCTCAGCCTTCCAGAGTCCTAGATTATAGACATGCACCACCACAGCTGGCTTTCCAGGCCCCATCCTAGGTGCTGGGGACATGTCAGTGAGCAGAAGGCAGAGCCTCTGCCCTCACAGGGTGACATTTCAAAGAATAGACATGAGACATGAGAATCAATAGACAGTATGTCAACTGGCAGAAGCAACTTGTGGCACAAAACTGAAGCAGTATGACACTCCCAAGCCCACCCTGCCCTTGTTCCTCACCTGTGGGTCTAAAGTGGGATTAAATCCAAAGCCTCCACCTGCCTCCCCACCTCATGTCTTGCTTGGTGGTCCGCAGAGCACCACCATGCAGGCAGATTATTTCAATCTGCTCAGGTGGTCCTCCGCTCAAGGCCTTTTATGGTTCCTGCCATCCCTGGGCAATCTGCTCTCCAGTGTTGGTCTCTCTGCCCCATCTTCTTCTTCCTGTCTGAGATCCACTGCCACTTACTCACTCCAGGGAGCATCCTGGACCATGTGGTCCTGGGAACTTTACTGAGTGGCTCCTTTCATCCATAGATCTTCCACCCTTAGCCCACCCTCAACTCGAGTCTCCCTGTCCAGGAAGCTTTCTTAGTCCCCCACACGGTGTCTCCTGCTTCCTCTGAGCACCCCAAGATGTGCCAGCAGCCGCTGCCCCAGCCTGATATGTGGATGCAGAGTCAGGAGGCAGGGCTGGCCCAGCTGCTCTTTGGCTGCCCCTCCGCCCTCTGCAGGCTCCAGGGGACCTTGACGTCTCTGTGTGTTCCTTTGTCATGTTCATGTTCCTTTGGAAAACCCTGTGCTGTTCCAGGCCACAGTGTGCTGATCTGTGGAATGAGGGCTTTCACAGTCACTTGTATCCTGTGCCTGCCTCTCAGGGGCTCTTAGATGATAATATATATGTATAAAACACCTACTTTCATACATATGGGAAAAATTGCCTCTGTGAAGAACTCCAAGCCTTGGCTTCACTTTCAGCAGCACTGGATATCTTCTGCCTTCTGTGGTTGATCAAGGTTAAGTTCAAAAATTCTTCCCCATGGACCTCCCAGGTGATTTTCAGCTTCATCTCCTGCTCTTCCCTGCTTCAACTTTCACCCCTACTCTGACAGCCACAGATTTCTTCTGCTGTGAAGATGTTTCCATTGTCGGGTTGGCTAATAGGTCACCTCCTCCAGGAAACCTGCCCCTAACTCCGCTAAAGTCACCAGCTGGCTTCTGGCTATGGCAGTGTCTGCCCTTTGCTCAACCTGGGCTCTTGGAAACGAATTTTAAACAAGTCCCCTGCTGTCCCTAATGAATGATCAAATGCTCCTTGCAGGGTGTTTTCAGAAGGTGTCTTCAAATGCCCAGGCCTTGCCCTTGGACTGAAGGGCACTCACCACCAGCTAACCTGTCTGTCTGTCCATCTTGTTCCTTCACCTTACAGAGGAATGTAAGCTGGGACCCTGGGGCAGCTGGGGCCCCTGCATGCATGGCGGGAAGACCTGCGGTACCACCTGGGGCCTGGAGACCCGTGTACGTGAGACTGGGCAGGCTGGGAGGGAGGAAGAGGCCACCTGCCAGGTGCAATCCGAGTCCAGGAAATGTCCCATCCAGAGGCCTTGCCCAGGAGGTGAGCAAGGGTGCTGTGTGGGGCTGCAATGGGCACGGCCCCCAGAGGTTCTTAGTGTCCTGGGGATGCTGCCCCCAGGAATAGTTCTGAGTACCCCCTCAACCACACCTTCATGAGAGTGAGCGAGCCTTGCTTACAAGCTCAGCCCCAAGCACCTGGGGAAGACAGGTCCACCCTTCCATACTGACCTCCTCATGTCATACAAGCACTTTGGAACATGCTCCTTACTAACCTAAATGAAATCCATTGGTAATATAGCCTATGAGCACAGATCCTTCAAAACACCCAACACAGGGCCCAGTCAAAGAAGAGACAAAGAGGAGAAGGTTTACAATACAAGTGTTGTGCCACCACACTGTGGGAGGGGTCCCAGCTGCGACTGGGATCAGCACCTTGTGTACATGTCTGACCTCCTTGTCATGTGATGCTGCTTCTCTTATGGTGACTGATCATTAGTGAGGTCCATCTGCTCTCCTGCTTAGCGTCAGACTGTAGTCCTAATGGGGTTAATGAGTGGAGTGTTCAAAGTGCTTGCCATTACTGCAGGGCAGAGATCAGCTTTCAGCTCTGTGAGGCTGGGCCAGGATGTGACAGAACAACTGGTCTTCATGGGGGCCTGTCCCATGCAGTGTTTCTAGTCTCTGTCCAGTCAGCACCATGGGACCCCTTCATATGGTAACTAGGACCAGTGCACAGATTTCCAGAATATTCCTGGGGGCACTCAAGAACCACTGATTCAGACAGGAGACACTGCAGACTGTAGTTGGTAAGATCTGGCAGTAAATGGTAGTAATAAGAATTAGCAGTGTTAACTGTGCTAGACAGTTTGTTTTCTGCACAATGATGCTCTGAAGAAGGTGTTATTATTACGCCCATTTAAGATGAAGAGATGGAGGCCCAGGCAGCTTGAGTCACTTGCCCAAAGGTCACACAGCCAGGGAGGGGTGAAACTGTCAGTGTGCAAAGAGGAATCTAAAGTCATGGTTAAGGCTGACAGACCTGGAGCTGGGTCACCTGGACACGTAGCTAAGACATGGTGGATGCAGGATTTGAGCCATGGACACCCCCATTTCAGAAGGATATGAGGTCTCTGAGTAAGGAGTGCAGAGCCTCTGGGAGTCATGTCTGGCAGTTGGGAATAGAGAGGGAGGTTGAGATGGGTGAGAAATGAAGTGATCATGGACTCAAGAAGACAGATAGACAGACAGACAGACAGACAGACAGACAGGCAGGCAGGCATCTAGACAGATAGGCAGACAGACCTCTGTAGCCCTTCTTACCCTGTGGGTCTGAGAGTTGGCAAGGATTGGCTCTTGGGGAATTCAGAGAGGAAGGCTGTCCCCTAGACAATGATAACAGTGTAGATGCTAATGATGCTAATAAAGGCAGCAGCTGCAGGCACTCATAAAGTGCTGCCCAGGCACCAGCACCATGCTGAGCACTTTGTGCATCCGGCTCTTTGAATCTTCCCAGCTCCACATGGCTCCTGGCATCACCTGAACTCCGCTTGGATGCCTCTTTCATAGATACAGAGAGACTGTCTGAGTTTCCTGCCCCTGGAGTCACTGTCTGTCACATCACATCACAGCAGTCACAGTGTTCTGAGTGATCCTGCTCAGTCTGTGGTTGCTTTCCAGTGTCTGCTTTCCTTAAAAGACAGGATATAGTCTCCAAGGAGAGCAAGGTCTTTGCTTGTGTCTGGCTGTCACTTCCAGCAGGACCTGGAATGTATGTAGTAGGTGTCATGCTGATTTTTCTTGGACAACGAATGGGTGGTGGGTAGATGAGTGGGTGCATAGGTGAATGGATAGGTGAGTAGGTGCATGGGTGGAACAGATAGGTAGATGGATGGAGTATGGACGGATGAATGGGTACATGGGCAGCTACAGCCTGGCTTAAGGGAGGAATAAAGCCACTTACTACCAACACGGAACCCTCAAAGCTGACAGTGCAAGCTCAGGCAGTAACATACCTGTCCCCAGTGGTCTTCTTCTGGAGCCCCAGAATTGAGAGTGATAGTATGGGTTCAGTGTCTTCTTGGGGTTTGGAGTAGGTGTGGGAGCCCCAAAGGTAGGCATCCTGGCCTAAGGGTGACCTTGAGTCTGCCCTGCATGGAGAGGAGTTGGGCTGGAGCATGGCCCAGACTCCTAAGGAATCAGACACACAGTTGACACTCAAGAAGTAACCCATGGCTGCCAGACCCTGAGATCCTCCCCACTACTCTGAGCCCTTGAAGATTGGTTCCCTCCACCTATTTTGCTGTGCTCCAGTGGGCACATGGTTCCCTGGGGTCTATCTGGGGATGATTAGTACTTGCAGAAGGCCTCAATGTGTAGCCAGAAGTGTCGGGCTTGTCTCGCTCCCAATCACACCTAGGTTTTCTCACCGGTCAATAATAACAATGACAAACAACAGCTGGGAGAGCATATTAGGGACTTGGTATGGAGGGGGTCAGGATCTGTCCTGGGGAGGCCCAGAGGGGCCAGCAGTGGGACCAATGAAGGTCAGATAGACCAGGAGAGCTGCCACCAGAAGAGGGAGCAGAGACACCAGTGTTTTTTGCTCTCAAAGAGAGCCTGCTGGGACTCCCTGACATCTTCCTCCCATCTGGTTACTGTATTTGTCCCTTCATTCTAAGTGTGCCACCTAGAAGGGAAAGCACAGGGCAGACTCCAGAAACTCCAGTCAGAATGTGTCACTGAGCAAGCTGGTACCCTTGCAGGGTTCTGCCACCTGACCTAAGAAGAGGGACTGATGAGACACCTGTGTTAGAAATTCATCCCCTTCCATAATGGGTCTAGATGCAGAACTGAGTCCTGCTGTTTGCAGCCAGCCCTCGTCCCCACAGGGGAAGCAGGAAGGACGCTAGGATGGTCACAGCTGAGACCAAGCTAATCTATGGGTTTGTTCTCATCACCTGTCAAATGCAAGCAGGGGCTGCTGAGAGTTTCACATCCCTAAAGCCTTTAGGTGTCCAGCTATGGTGTGTGGCAGCTAACTGCTAAACATTGTTGCTGTCCTGCTTCTGGGGGACAAAGCCTGCCACCCTGGTGAGTGCACATGAAAAGTCAAGAACCCACAATGTGACCATGCTGAGTCCTGACTGGAAGCCCCAGTGAACCTCAGGCCTGGCAGGTACAAAGCAGGGCACTGGGTTGCCCTCCCTGCCCCTAAAGAACCACAGAGAAAGGCTCAGTGGTGGGGAGGGCACCCACTCCTGCAACCCACAGTCTAACACCGGGTGATGGCGAAACCAGAGCCCTCTGTTCTAGGGTCCCTGTGGGTGTGTGGGTGGGCACCCTTGTTCTTCAGGACTGAGGAGTCACCCAGGACCTCTGTAGCCCTGCAGCCCCAGAACCAAGGCCCTGTCCTCCCCTTGCAGAGAGAGCTGCCCGCCAGAAGAAGGGTCGGAAGGACCGGCGCCAGCGCAAGGACAGGAAGCTGGAGCGCAGGCCTGATGGGAGGCCTCGGCAGCCTGACCTACAGTGACCACGCTCTGCTCTTGTCCTTCTCTTTGCTCATTGTGGTCACCACCCCAACGCCTTCCTTCCCTTTTCCTGTCTGTGCTTCTCTTTTTTCCCTTCTCTTCTGGGTCAACTGACATCTCATGTTTTTCTTCTTCTGTTTTATTTCCTTCCTCTCCATTTCCTCACTTTTCTCCTCTCTTCCCGCTTTCCTTCCCTGCTTCCTCTTTTCTCTCTTACCCTTTACCTGTCTGCGCTTTCTTTATTCTTCCTTCTGTCCTTTGTATTCTTTGCCTTGTCTGTCTCTCTCTCAATCCTCTCTCTACCCGCATACACACATTAAGAGGGAAATGTTAAGTCTGTGCCTTCCCTGTGGTCTCTCTGCCCCTTATAGAAAGCAAACATCTTTCTGTGCATCTTCCCTGATTGGTTCTGACCCCTTCTTGCAAAGAAGGTTTTACCAGGGGGTAGCCCAGGAACAACAGGGTGAGTCCCCAGATAACTGAACTCAGCTCTGAGCCCTTTGTTTTGTGTCCATCCCACATGGGCCATTTTTTTTTCAGTCACCAGCTCACCTAGAAAGAGATTTGGGGGCTTCCCAAGGCCCAGCCTGGACATCTTGCCAGTGTGCAGTGGGAGGAGCCATGTGCGGCTTCAGACCTACCAGGCCCATCCTCCCCAGCCTTCCCTCCCCTCCCCTCTCTCACAGTTCTGTACCCCATCTTTCTGAGTTTACCTTGGGAAACTTCCAAACTTGGGGAACTGAATGCTGTTTCAGGTGGGACTGTCACCCCTAGGGAGCAAATAGGTCATCCCAGAAGAGGCCACTGAAGCTGCCAAGTCATTCTATTCTCCACCATGATGCCTCCTGCCTGTTTTACCAGAGCTGAAACTGAGACCTGGGAGAAAGGGACTCACCGAGGAACGTGTGGGGCCCTCGCTTGATAGCTGCTGGGCTCAGCACATCCTACTGAAAGGAAATGGAAAGGGGCTCTCAAGGAGGAGATGAAGGACACAGGGTGGGACAGCCTACTCACCTGGCCCAACTCCAACACCTGAGAGTTTATGCTTTGCTGTGACCCCTTCTCCCCAGGCAGAAAGGACCCTGGAAGGATCGAGAGATCAAACTAATCCACAGGTTGGTTTTCACTGCCTTCCATTCCATCTGAGAGGTAGAAAATCACCTCCCCTACTCCTGGGCAGTGACTCTCATACTCATCCTCCACCTTTCTAGTTGGGGTTCGCAGCACTGCTGCCTGGCTCACTAAGGCTCACCCTCATCTTGTCCCACCAGCTCCCCAAGGACAGCTAGAGCCCTCTTGGCTAGGCCACCAGCAAAAGTTTGTGCCTCTGAAATGCTCTCTGGGTTTCTCAAACCCTGAACTTTTTTTTAAATAAAAAGAAAGAAACAAGAAACTTGCAAATGTATCTTAGGCATCAAGAGGGTTACAAAACCATGATGCTGATGAGTTTGGAGTAGCACAATCTAAACCATGTGGGGTGGTTTCCACTGGAATGCTCTGTGAAGAGGGGTTGAGGTGTATGCAGAATGAGCTGGGTTTCAACTGGGGGGGGTGCTGAAAAGAGATGGGCCTCACCCTTTCAGGCCCCTCAAGAATGCGACTCAGCCAGAGGCAGAAGAGGGCAGCACTGTCTGCCTGTGCCCCAGAACACCCCACCCCTACCGCCCTCTACCTCTTGATTCACACAAGTGGCCTCAGGGGCCATTTGGCTCAGTGTGGCTTCTCTGAGGGGTTAGGTCCTCTAGAAGGTGGACAGTCCCACGAAGCCATGGGAATGTCCTGGGCTGCTGGTAGATGGCCTCAGCCTTGGTAGGCACAGGTGAGTCCCAAGGTTCCACCTGCCAGTGGTGGCGTCTCAGTTTCCCCATTGGATGGATGAAGAGAAGAGAAGACTGGAATGAATGGACGGCCCACATCTGGGAGGCCCAAAATCAAACTCCAGGGGATTTTAAAAAATAATTCATATCCAGGACCCCACCCGAGACCTACTAATTGTGAGCAGATTGAGAAGCAGACAGCGAAAGCAAACTTGATTATTCCAGGGCAAGCTGGGCTGGGCCCAAGGCATCTCTTGGATTACTTCAGCCCTGGAATGCTAGGAGCTAGATTTGAGGGCTGCAACTCAAACAGTTAATTCTGTACAAATCAAGCGTATTTGCCTCTCGGATTTGAAGAATAAAATTGGGAACAAAAGGAGGAGAGTTTTCTTTTTGAAATGGTTTTCTTTCTTTCTTTTTTAAAAAAGTCCATTTTATTTCAAAGAGAAAAAGGTAAAACAAAATCTCAAAATACAACCATCAGGGAACAAAAATGGTATATACATTGTGCGTTGCCATCCCTAAATCAGTCACCCAGAGCACAAGACATTTTATTGAGAAATCTCTTCATCAATGTTCATTAGTGAGATTGGTCTATAGTTCTCCTTTTTGATTGGTTCTTTCTCTGGTTTTGGAATCAGAGTGATACCTGATACTTGCCTCCAAGAATGATTTAGGGAAGATTGCTTCCCTTTCAATTTCATTGAAGAGTTTGATGAGTATTGGCATCAAGTCTTCTCTAAATTTTTTTGTAGAGTTCAACTGTGAATCTATCAACACCTGGGCTTTTTTATTGGTAATTTTTTACATCACATTTTCGATTTCAATAGCTGATACTGGGTTATCCAAAATTGTTATATCTTCTACCTTCTTGATTGAGTTTTGGTAGTTCATATACTTCTAGAAATTTGTCCATTTCTTCTGTGTTTTCCACCTTATGTGAGTAGATTTTCAAAGTAGATATTCTTGATCTTTTGAATTTCCATGGGATCTGTAGTAATTTCTCTGTTTTCATTCCTTATTGCCTGAATTTGAGTTTTTTTCTTTCTTTTTCTTGATAAAGTTAGTCAGAGGTTTGTCAATTTTATTCTCTCAAAAAAACAGCTCTTTGATTCATTAATTATTTAGTTTTTCTTTAGTCTCAATTGCATTAATTTCTGCTCTGATCTTTATGATTCCCTCTCTTCTATGAGCATTGAGTTTGATTTGCTCTTCTTTTTCTAGAAGCTTGAAATGTAGCATTAAGTTGTATTTGTGCTTGTTCTGTTTTCTTGATAAGACAGTTTGTTGCTACATATTTCCCTCTTAGGACTGCTTTCATTGTGTTCCACAGGTTTTGGTATGTTGTATCTGATTTTCAGTGAATTGTAGGTATTGCTTAACTTCTTTAATGTCACCTTTAACCCACTGATTGTTCAGGATGTCATTATTTAATTTCCAATAACAAGTTTTGCAATTTCTGTTGCCATTAATTTCCAATTTTAGTGCACTATGGTTTGATAATATACATGGGATAATTTCAATTCCTTTACATTTATTTAATAATGGTTTATGGGCTAATATATGGTCTGCTTTGGAGAATGTCTCATGCACAGCTGAGAAGAATGTGTATTCTGGTGTGACTGAGTGGAACACTCAGTAAACATCTAAGTCTATTTGCTCACAAGTTTTATTCAGTTCTGTTATTTCTTTGCTGATTTTTTGTTTAGTTGATCTATCTCTTTGTGACAATGGGGTTTTAAAGTCCCCTATTACAATTGTGTTGTTGTTTATATTTGGTTTTTCATATTTATTAGTATTTGCCTTATATAGTTGTGTGCTTCTATATTTGGTGTATATATGTTTATGATTGTTAGCTCTTCTTCTTGAATTGTTCCCTTGACAAGTGTGTTTTGACCTTTTTTAGCTCTTTTGATCACTTTTGTTTTGAAGTTCACATTGTCTGCAAATAGGATAGCTACCCCTGCTTTTTTCTGGTTCCTGTTGCAAGGAATATTGTTTTCCAACCTTTGGCTTTTAGTCTATGAGTTTCCTTTTGAGTCAGATGTGTTTCTTGTATCCAGCATATTGTGGGATCCTGTTTCTTGATCCTTGCTGTCATACTATTTCTTTTATTAGGTGAATTGAGCCCATTTACCTTGATGGATTTCACTGATATGTACTGGCTCACCTTTTCATGTTATTTTGCTGCTGTTGGTTTTCTTTCCTCCTTGTTTAATTGCTTGCCCTGTCTGGTGGTTTCTTTCTGTTGTTGTTCTGGGGGTTGTGATCATTTTTTATCTCTATCTGGTATATCTTTCAGTATTCTTTCTAAGGTTGTTTTGGTGGATGTGAATTTTTTCAATTGTTCTTTGTCATGGAAGTACCTTATTTCTCCATTAAATTTGAAAGAAAGTTTTGCATGTTAAATTTTTTTTATTTAAGAGGAAAAAGAGAAAAACACAAAACAAAACAAAGCAGTGTAAGGTTACCCATAATACAGAACTACAAAAAAAAAAAAACATAACAGTAAGAAATCACCTGTTAATAGATTACATATTATCATCTTGGAAATAGTTGCTCAAATCACAGTATCAAAGAATACAAAGTAGACATTCAAACAGAGAGACTGCAAACAGCTGTGTTCGATGATCCAAAAACATTAATATAGTCAGCTATTTAACACCCCTAAACACACTTGCTGTTATATCCGTTAGAGCTCTTTTTTTTTCCTCCCTATCTTTTTTACAACAAAATTTACACATTTTGGATTTTATTACTCCTTAGTTCTTATTACTTTTTGGGGGGGAGAGAATAAAGTCAAATATGGCAAAACAAAGCTGTAAGTCAAAACCAAGGCTAGACATAGCACATGATGTAGAACAGAGTACAAGGTTATTAACAATGGTTATCAACGTTGTCTCTTGTTTCCTTAAAAGGAATTGTCTATCTCATTAGATATTATAAAGTTGGACAAAACAGTAGAGAACAAGACCAACAAAACTTAGGCATTGTGAACATTACAGGACTTCCAAAGGAGACAATAGTCAAACCAGAATGGGCATCTTTGTAAATCTTATTGCCTTCAAATTAGTTTGCATGTTAAATTAATCTGGGTTGAAAGTTTTTTCTTTTATGGCTAGAAATACTTCACTCTAAGCTCATCTTAACTTGAGGGTTTGTGCTGAAAAGTCTGTTGTGATTCTAATCAGCTTTCCTTGACAGGTGAATGGTGTCTTTTGTCTAACAGCTTTTTATATTCTGTTTTTATGCTGTATGTCTGGGATCTTAATTATTATAAGTCTGGGTGTAGATTTATGTTGGTTGTGACTGTTTGGCATTCTATATGCCTCACTTATCTTCATATCAGATTCCTTCTCCATGTTTGGGAAATTTTCTGCTATTACTTCTTTGATTAGTTTACGTATGTCATTCATGTTGACTCCTGCATCTTCATTGATGCCTATTAGTCTGATAGTGTTTCTTTTGGAATCATTTTGAAGCTGCTGAATTGTTATTTCATGCTGCATTGTTATTTTTAAAATTTCTATCCTTTCATTTTCACTAGCTGTCCCCAAGGACTGAAATTCTATCCTCAGCTTCATTTAAATGGTTTTTGCAACTTTCAATAGAATTTTTTATTTCTTAGATATCTCTTTGAATTTGTTTCATGCATTCTGCTTGTTTTCTGTATTGTTAATTTAAGGTTTCAATCAGTTTCCCATGCTCTTGTACTTTTTGAAAATCTATTTCTTCTTTAGCTATGCTGAGCAACTCCTTTACTAAGGCTGTCATTTGTGTCTTTACATGAGAAACTCTTTCTAATTTGATTTCCTCTATAGCTTCAGAGATTTGTTTCTTTATTTCACTTGATAACTTTTCAGAGATTTCAGGTGTATGACTTAAAGTCCTCTATTATAGTGTTTCCTGTACTGGCTCCTGATGGACTAGATGTATGAGATTATATTTTGTTTTTTTGTTTTGTTATTTTCACCTTTGGGGCTAATATTTGGCCTTTCAATTCCACTATTCTCAACTGTCAGTAGTGTGTATCTTAGAGTCCTACCGTGTGGTTGATGTTTGTCTGTTTGCTGGGTACCACAATGAAGAGGAGGGCCAGTCACCCAAGTTCCTCCTGCAGGGCCTGTTGGTTGAGTCCTATATTCTTCGTAGACTGACTAGCCTAGGATTATTAATAGAAGTGAACCCTTAGTTCCCATTGTTACTATGTCTTCAGGTTGTTCCAGGCCACCAGATCTCCCTGTCTATAGTGTTTGTCTCAGCTGGGTGTCTCATAAGCCCTTTTAATTTTCTTCAGGTTGGGAAAGGCCAATAGGCACACTCCTCAACTCAGCTGATGTTCTCAGTAGGGAGGAAGGACTCACCCACACTCTTGTCAAGCTCACCAAGGTCCTACAGCTGGAAGGGACTTTGCTACTGCTCCCTCCATTTTAGGAGCAAACTCACTACACTGACAGAAGGCCTGCTAAGGTCCTCTTTTTGCACAAGACATTACTGAGTCTCCCATCAATCCAGAAAGGTTAATTCACTGCAGTCCAAGGTTCTGGGAGCAGGAGTGGCAGCCAAAGATCAACAGCAATAGTAGGTCCAGGAGTGGGGGTGGTTCCTGGGGGTGGGAGGGTGGGTGCAAAAGCAGCTTGTCCTCCTAGGTGGAAGTCTGAGGTCTGAGTGTGTGGGGGGGGGAGATATGGGAGTGAAAGTGGCCTGCCCTCCAAGACGGAGGTCCTGGGTCCAAAGGGTGGGAGAATGGGTGCCATGGGTCCAACTTTAATATTCAGCATGTGCAGAGCCAATTTTTCTAGCACCATTTATTTATTTATTTATTTATTTCTTGATGAATAAGTTTATTGGTCTTTATCTGAAAAATCTTCACAGATATTTGGTTTAACTCCCGGCAGCCTGCTCCTGAGCTCTGAGGAAGCCTACTTTCTTTTGAGCTACCCAGTCTTTCTTCTGGGCAAGTGACATTTTGGGACAGTTCCGTCTCTTGTTTTCAACTTCTCTCTTCAGCTTCTTTTCACAGACTGGATTCTTTTGTACAGCAACATGAGTTTTCTTATACATCTCCCCCATCATATCTGGAGTCACGTTGTTGTTTATGTACTGAGAGAACTGTTTTTTATAAACATCTTCATCTTCTTCCATCAGATAATGTGTATAGTCTGTGACATTCTGACCCATGATGTGCTTCTGATATACTTCTGCATTGAACTCCTTGCTTTCAGAAGCATAACCAGGGAATAATTTGGGTACTGTGAGAGACAGACAAGCCTCCATCCATAGCACCCTTCAGGGCTCCAAAAACTTTATTGCCAATTGTAGTTCTGGCAAAGCCTGCATCCAAATTGCAGGTGCTATTTGGACCCAGCACCATTT